TCGATGGTCGATCCCCTCATAAGATGACGGCGGATTCCTCTTGACCAGCTGTCGATTGGCTTTACTGTAACATTCTTGCTGATGCTGTTTCCGAGGTAATCTCCTTCGATTCCAGTGAAAATGTGCTAAGCATTCGTTATCAGAACAAAGTATCATCATTACAACCATATTCAAACTAACGAGTCATGAAAATTTACCAGCTCATCCTTGAAATGCTGTATACCTACTCTATATCTAAACTGTTTTGATGGAGTATAAAGTTATGTATGCTTCTGTATGTGTATGTGCCTGCATGTGTTTGCATATTTACCAAACCAGCAGTGATGGCTTAAAGTAATTAAGACGGCAAAAGTAACATCTGTTCTCTGCCATCGAGGTTTGATGACCACCATCACCCCCTTTGTACATATATATTTTATATTTAAGGTATCACTCCGATTGCTTAGGGTATGAGGCACGTCTGGTTATGCTGATGAGCTTGCTGTCTTCATGTGAGAGAGAATGAATGTACCAAAAAGTACAGAGAAGTGACTGCGACTAGACAAGACCAGTTGAGTCGTCATATTTTTGCAGGCGGCTCAACATCCTCTCTATTCCATGTCCATCATACGACAGACGAGTTCTTGGTACGTTTTCACCGGAATCGAGGGAGATTGCCTTGGAAACAGCGTCAACAAGAATTTTCCAGTAACGCCAATCGACAGGTGACCAAGAGGAATCCGCTGTCGCCTCATGGTGGGATCGACCATCGAATCACTTCACTAAACACTTTTACTCGAAATGGAAATTAGTTTAACAATTTTGTTTATATCTCATCCTTATTGGTGGATCCAAATTCATTATGCAACACCCAGTGATTGTTTTTTAAATAGTTGTGAATTACTTTTTTAAATGATAACATTTTTACAGGCTCTATCTTAATGCAGAATCAATTTGGTCTTTAGGCAAAATGGTAAAGTGATATGAAGCCTTAGTCAATTCACTATTCTGAATAACTAAAAAAACTAGGTATTCCTAATTGCACGTACTTATGTGCCAATTATCAATCATTATAATCAAAATAAATCCGTCTCTGATAGCTATTATGATCACTCTGGCTTTTTAGATTATTAAAAGGCCAGAAAATACTAAATAAAGGACCTTGTAGGCATTAAAATCCCATTTTAAATTGCGTATTCCTAATATCCATCTACTTAAAAAACAAAGATATTTTAAATTTGGATAATGACTAAACGAATAAAATGTGTTACTTTTAGAATATTTCCGGCAAATTTGTTGTTTTTATAAAGATTTCAAAACAATTTGTTCATTTTCTTTTACTTTCATTATTGGTCAAATGGTGAATACATCTCATATAATGTTTTTCCATCGTTGTACCATTTACTGAGTGCATTCCCAAACGTTTCCCTAGCCTCGTATTGAGCAACACCTTTTTGAGCATTGAGCTTCAACTGAAAATCTGTGCCTATAAGAGTCCGAGGCTAGAAGATTGCATGCTAACACTCGCAGAGGACCGACTACGAAGAGGGTTATTTGGAATTTCACATAAATCTGTAGGAGAAAATCGTTCAATAAAGACCAGATATCAAATCATCTTGATCACCATGTCGAAAATATGTAATAAAAAATACTCCTTTTCTTTAAGTTAATAAATTTAACTAAAAATTTTGGCGATATAATTCAAGCATTGTTATGATGCCTATTTTAATTCCTGAATAGATGACGAGCCGAACAATGGAATAAATCGTTATATCCTGCTAAGTGGATTTTACGAGGAGGATCTTCTACCAAATCTAGCACAAATAGGCGTACCTGTCGACTGCGTGTTCAAAGTGTCGGCAGAAAAGGGAAAGGCATGTGACAAATTTGAAGCGGCTATCTTGAGGAAAGAAGTCGAATTTTATCATCCAGCTCCAGCCGGTTAGATTTACAGCCAACTTTGCCCATATAGCTAGCACTAGCAAATATAGTATAATAACTTAATTATTATTTTCGAAAATTTATTTCAGATAGCCGAGTTTCAAATGTGTCTCAAAAAACGCAAGCCATTACACCAAGTTTGTTAACGTCCTTCTGGAAAGGAACTAGCAAGCTTTTGTCGGAAGATACAAGAGAACAAATGAAGAACGTGACGATTCTCAACTTTGTCGTTCCAGAAAGCCAGATTCCAGGCAACCTATGTGATGTCGCGATGGTGGTAAATATTTTTTTGTATTCCAACCATAGTTTAGAAAATTTTAAATACTTCTTTGTTAAAGACAGCGCATCAATGGAAATTATGATAAAAATTATTATTTTTCTTGAATAAATTTGTAAAAACAAGCAAGAGGTCCATTATTTGGCTCCTTTCTTAGAAGGTATTTAATTGGTAAGGCAAACAATT